CTATAAGAGATATAAAATAATATTTAAAGATGAAGTTGATATTATGTTAATAGATGGGATATCATAATTATGTTAATGAATTCTAAATATTTTATATATAAGAAAAACACTAAATTGATATAGTGAAATTTATAAATTATAACTAGTATCTTAAAGGATTAAATAATGATGATTAATAGTCAAGATAAAAATTGATTCTTTTGAGCTCGAAGAATTTATATATATTCTAAATTTATAATTCAAAAATTTTGGCTGAAATTAAACTCACTTAATAAAGAAAAATTTCGTTCAAAATGTCTAATTAGGGCTTCAAAATTTAAGATTTTCACAATAAGGTTTAGAGATATTATTAATGATAAGGCCAAAAGGTATTGTTTATATTAATGGCTTATATTTCTCATACTTAATTCCAGAAAAACAGAAAATAAACGCATTTCATCAATGAAATATCTAGAACAGTTGAAAAGCAACTTTATACTCACTCAAATGTACTAATATCATTTTAAAATCAAAATTAATTTATGATATTAAATAAATAATTGAAATTGAAATGGAGAAGATTTAGAAGTTACAATTGATTGGGTTTATATTTGGAACAATACAAGATTTTAAAATAAACCAAATTGAATACAATTTAAATCTTAAAATAATATCAAAAAGATATTTCTTATATTTGATAGTTAAGAATTAATTAGTTTAGAATAACAATTAAAGCCAGTAATTATATTCTTAATCATAATATTATAAGGAAATCTATGAAATTAACAATTATTAACAATAAAAGAATTCAAAATTTTCGTTAAAATAAAACAATTATTTATTAACAATAATACATTATAAAATAAAAATTTACAATTATAATAGATTTTAAATATAATAATTTAACCTAAAATTGACTTTTTGAATTGAATCTTGTAGCATTCTTAATTTTTTAGAAAAACTTAAAGAATTTATATCTGATGGTGAACATTTTAAATGGTTAACTTTTTGTATTTGAAAAGTGATTAATATAATTGATTATAATATAAATGTATTAAAAAAATTCAATCTCTTAAAAATGATTAGATTTATCCAAGTTTTAAATCTATTAAATAATATTGATTCATAATAACTTATGGTATATATCTGATAATTTTGTTTCTCTAGTAGTATTATGGTTGTTTCCCCAACAAAAAGAGTAAACTTCTTAAGTTGTA